TTAAGAAACAATTCCAATTTTTTAATTTCTTTTAAAAATCAGATACATCTTAAGATGTTACTTGATACAATAATAGAAAAAAAAGTAGTTAATAAATTAGTTGAAAATGTAAAATGACCAAAAAATACATGTTAAAACATTAGTCAATTTTTTTACATTTCAATATATACTTAAAATTAAATAAATAATAATTAATACGTTATTTGATGCAATAATAGAGGTTACATGTAATTGTAGCTTCTAAGAGAATAACAGAGATTCTCTTAGACCTTTCAATTTTTATCGGATTTCATTATCTTCTTTTTCGAAAATTTTGCGAACCACAAATTAATATATGTAAGCGTGTTGGAAAATTCTAATTTTTTTTAATATCTTGAATTGGAATTTGGATAATACGAGCAATATGTGGTTGTTCTAAGTCTTTCAACTGGAATTTGGATATTTGTGTAGACTTTTCAAGTATACTTATCTATTCACGACTGCATGCCCAATATACACTCGATGTTTATTTGTTTGTGGTCGAAATATCCTTTTGAATGAAAAACTTGACTCTTTGGAAGTGAAGGGTGGGGACTTGGTCTTAATTCTTTTTGGTGCAAAATTTCCAACTTTAGATTTTATTGATGTAAGAAGACGCTACCTTATTCAGAAACTTGCCCCAATGAAGCTTATTGAAACGTTACTCTAAGTAGTGTTTCAATAAACTAGCTTATAGGCTCATTTTCACCATCCAAACGAGACTATAAACAAAACACAACATAACATAACCCAATTTCTACGTTCTTCATGGCATCAAAATTTTTACTACGTTCTTCATGGCATCAAAATTTTGAAAATAGTTTCTAGACATAAGGCCTATAAACTCGTTTTGAGATAAGTTACGAGAAGTTTTCTATGTGACCATGCAACTTGTTTGAATCAAGTACAAGAACCTGTAACTCCGATAGACGTCCTGAGCAGTGTGAGAAAGTACCATTTAAGTGGTTGTGGGGAGTCTTTCTTTGACAACTATCTAATCTCTAAGATCCAATTTCAACCACAAAAGAAAATGAAAATAAAATATAATACAAAATTAAAAATCTTTCCCTTTCTGTCATCTCTCCTATATTTTCTCCCATCTTTCCCATATTTTCTCTCTCGTCGTTCCTCTCTTCATAACGACACGTACACACATAAGAATATGCACAAAGGAGACCACATTGTGAACACTTTGCTAGAAATACTATTATAGTTTGTAAATACACTTTAAATCGATGACATCTGGTATATCTTGTGAACATATAGTGAACACAAACTAAATCCATAAAACTTATTTCCTGACAATTAGATTATTAATTCAAAGTATAAAACTTATTACCATAATACTTCAAATGATTTTGCATATGTAAATTACAGTCGTTTTATTGTGGGCAGTTCATGGAAAACACAGCGTGTAGAAATGAATGTATTGAAAGCTTGTCTGCTTTTGAAATGACTTTTGACTAATAACAAGGATTGATTTGGATTTCAGAAAACCAACAAGATGATAGATGTCGTTTTAAATTATACGTGCATAATACTTGAGTCTTGACTCCATACCCAATATACACTCGACGTCAACGAGTTTGTGGTCCAAATTTGTCAAGTCTTGCAATTGAAGAGTGGAGACTTGGCCTTAATTTTCGTTGGTGCAAGTTTTCCGACTTCAGATATTTGGATGTAAGAAGACATTACTTTATTAACGAATTTCGTTCCAATTATTTGCATTAGAATTGAGGTCTTTGCATATCAACAGGTTAATGCTTGTCAATTAAAGACATATCATTTAGACTATATTTGGCAAAGTAGCTGATGAACTAATTACTTTTTTTTCGTAAAAACAAGCTGATAAGATATTTGAAAATTATAAAATGATCAAAAATGACATTAAATAATGAGTCAATTGTAACATTTCATAATCAAAATAAATAATACTTTGATTAACACAAACCAGATGGTAAAGAAAATTAAGTAGTATAATATATGTAAATTAAAAAAAATTAGTTGGAATTATTATTATATACTAGAAGGGTACTCGAGCAATACAGCGAGATACATCTTGATTTTAATATTTTATTTTATTCTTTATCTCAGTCGGTGTTATAATATGGTTTTATGTGATTTTGAGAAAACGATAATGTTTTTATCTTTGAATAAAATATAAGTTTGAAGATATCATAAAAATTTGATAAAAATATATCGATATTAGTATCAAATTAACTATTTTATAGGTTTCGTTTCTTTGGTATAAGTTCTTCAATTCAATTTTTTATTATAGTTCAATTTAGATTTAAGGGAAAAGTACAATAAAAACCAATGGACTTTCTTGTTTGGAATGATTAAGTCCTTAGACTTTTTTGTGGAACAAATAAGTCATTGGACATTCCAAAACATGTTAAATAAGTCATTGGACAATTTTTTGGAACAAATAAGTTCTTGGACATTTCAAAATATGTTAAATAACTCATTGGACAATTTTTGGAACAAATAAGTCTTTGGACATTCCAAAAAATGTTAAATAACTCCTTAGACAATTTTTGGAACAAATAAGTCTTTGAACAATCCAAAACATGTTAAATAATTTCTTGAACTTTTATAAAACATGTTGGATACATTCTTATGACTTGTACAACTAGTTAAAGTGGTAAAATAGTGAAAAAAAT